ATCCCCATTTCCAAGCCATAGAGTCACCGTTTGTCCGAAGGTAGTTTCCGTGGTCACATGGCCAGCGAGACCATACATGGAATGCCATTACCTTCCCACTGAGGTGGTACCTATTTATCTACTTGCATTTGCATGCTTTCGAACTGCTAGGTTGGCAGGAGCTGGGACAAGCGACGGAAGCTCACTCCGTCGCATGGATCCGATCTTACGACTGCTGGTCTTCTGACCTTGCAGCACAGAGGCTTCTGCGGTTTAACCCGCAGCAGCACCACGTCCCTTTAAAAACTAAGTACTATATTTAAATGTGAGCTTTTGTGAATCAAGTCCACTTCCTCAGACAAGAGTGAGACTAACTCAGCTGCCCGTTTGAAAATTTGATCTCTATATACTAAAAAGAGATGAAATTACAAACAATGGTACATTAGGTTTTCTAGGAATCGTGTTTGAGGGTCAGGGTGAAATATCGGGACACAACAGGGCATGTGGACATATTTTGGCATAGGGTCTCTGTGTACATCAGTGGTTCCCAACCTTGGGTCCTCAAATATTGTTGGACTACAACTTCCAGGAATCCTGGCCAGCATAATGGTGAAGGCTTCTTGAATGTTTAGTCCAAGAGCACTTGGAGATCCAAAGCTGGGAACCACTGCTGTATGCCATTGGAATAACTGCAAGACAGAACCATCTGAAATGGAGTTGTGTGTGTCTCTGTGTGTCCTTTTTGTATGTTAATGGGGAGGAGGTGATTTTCACCGGCTACTCCTTCCATTGCAGCCCCATAGTATGACAGTACTTCCCAGACTGTTCTATGGGGTTTCCCAGACTTTCAGAGAAGATTTTCTAGGGCGTACAGGAGGGGGGTGAATAGGTTAAAATATAGCATCCTCCATGAGTAGAAAAGCTCCTCTGGAGAAGACTTTCCCTTCCAGCATTCCACCTTTTACAAGTGTATCTTGAACAGGACACATCTGCCAACTAGTTTTGGATGACATAACAGTGTTCTTCCCTTATGTAATAGTACCCTCCACAGATAGAACAAGCAAAAATGTGTGTTAGACATGCATTATAGTATTTATGGTATGTGGAATAAATGAGTAAAACCATCACTTGTGGCAACACTCATAGAAGGAACTTGGACAAAGATTTGAAAAAATGGGGAAGAATATCTCCTTTCAAGATTTTGATCCCCTTACCCTTCAATGTGGCCCCTTCCTTATCTGCGTGATCAGATCATCTGTAGAATGAAAGACTCCCCAGGATATTTACAGCATTTGGGGTTAGAACGTCTTTTCCTTGCAATCACACAGCAACACTGAAAAAAGTCTGTAGCCCAACTATTTGAATTTTGAAACTCGACAAATGTCAGCTTGAAGAGTCAATAACACAGAGGCAGCCCTGACTGCACTTTCAGACCCCGCACCATATGAGTAAGCTTGTCAAATCTAAAACTGTCATATTTGGAAATACTGGACATAATGAGTGTCACCCAATATTAAATATGTAAGGAAAAAATGTTGGGAATCTTATGCTTTATGTAATATTTTTCTAGCTTTCAGCGTGTTAAACTGGTTCACAAATACAAAATAGGTTTTATGGGATGAAATGTTAATGTGATATACAACCTTTAACTTTCTAGATGTTCGGGGCTGAAACCCCTCCAGTCTTGCACCCTACACTGTGCCAGCTGATGCTTTGGGGAGTCCGAAACAACTAGGAGGATGGAAGACTGTTCCCTGCCACCCAGCTTTGGCCTACAACATACAGGCAGATACCTTTGTAATCCCTGGTTGCAGTATCCTGCCAATGCCCCAGGATGTGCGCAACTGTAGAGGGCAGAGGTGCGATAGTGAAGTCTGCGGTTGTGCTTCATTTTCCCAAAGTGATTCCTTGTTTTCCCAGTTTCTTGTTTTGTGACCTTGGCTCTCCCAAACTTGAATCTTTTCCTTGGTTGTTGCCTAAAAGTGAGAAAAGATTATGGGTTGTTCTAGCACTATGCGCACCCGGTCAAGATGTTTGCTAAATCAGAATTCAGAAAGCAAATTTCACTATCTGCTGATCAAGGTTGGAATCCCTTTCTTCAGCTAGATAAGACCAGCATGGAATTGTTCTTCTACTTAGAATTTTCTTCCAATGAGAATTTGTTTGGGCTGCCCCCATCTTTAGAATTGCCTTGCAGAATGTTGATTTGCTCTGCTGCACAATAATGAAACAAACTTTTATCCTTTTCTCTGTGATACCAGCAGTTTTGATTGACTATGTAATAAGGATTACTTAGTATTGTAGTGGGTCCTTCCTCAATCTGCTCCTTTAAAAATCTGAATTAAATAACTGGGTAGCTCATCTCGTGAAGCTTATGCAATTCCTATTTCTCTGGCAGATAACCCAATGCTATATCTAAATAAATCCAAGTTTTGTAAGACGAAACATGAGGGAGGTTGTATAAGCTTCTGTCTACAGTTTAATTGGAATATTGAGTGTGCTCTAGAGTGGGACCCCTTTTTGTTGTGCCATTGAGACGTCATTTTTTTCTTTAGTATTTTCACAGAATGGCTAGCAATATTTAAGCATTCTGTTCGGGTCCTTTCCTTTCACCATCAACTGAAAACTTACCTTTTTAAAGAGGCTTTTGGGGAGTCAGGAGACAATTAATATGGGGAGGCCCTTTAAATTTTATTTATACTTTTAAAATAACATTTAAAGTATTTGAACATTATAGTTTTGTTTTTAATTATGGATTTTAACTATTTTTGTACACTGCCTTCAGTCCACATTAAGGAAGGAAGGAAAGAAAAGAAAGAAAGAAAGAAAGAAAGAAAATTCAACATCAGTAGAAAGACTACCAGGCGCCCATGAGTAGAATGACACCTTCTGTCTCATGATGCCCAGAAATTGGTTCACAGAGGCCTACGGAATTTTCAAGGTGATGATAGCTCTGCTGACTAGTAGCTGCTGATTCTCCTAGCTCTCACAAGCTTATCACCTTTTAAAACTGGCCAAGTTGCCAAACATCACTGTTTAGCATCTCTTTTTGCTTTAGGTTGGCAATGGCTTTCTTTAGACGTCCCTTCAATGAACTCTTAGCAGTGCGTGCAAAGAAATTTAGAGACCATTGAATTTACAGAGTAGCTGACTGGATAGCTCAGTGAATTGGGAACCCGGCTACAGAACCAGAGGTTATGAGTTCACTTCTCCACTGTGCCTCCCAACAGAACAGCCAGCCTGTGTGTTGTTGAGCAAAAGTCTCAGAGCTCTCCCAAAAAGAGTTGCAGACAAATCCTTGCAGAGTACTTCATAGGTAGAAAACCGTGAGAAGCAATACCATAAGTAGGAACTGATCTGATGGCATGTGATTATTATTGACTTATGCCACATATTTAAAAAAACAGCCTTTAAGCTTATTTCTTTTCCAAGAACAATCTGCTAAATGCTGCATTCTCAGAAAGTCATATGGCAACTATAGCATACTTCAGTCCTAGGTTATGCACCACTTCTATTGCATACTTTCCCCTTTTCTTCTATGTATATAAAATTAAAAAATCATGATTTCTTAGAGTGAGCAGCTAGGGCAGAAGTAGGTGTGCATCTTTCTGTTTTCTCGCTGTTCTGCAGCAGAAAAAAAATCCTGTAGTGAGAAATTTGATTCTGTAGCCTGCAGATGGCAGCAGAAGCTTTCCCATTTGCTACGTCTTTTGCTATAATAATTTGACAGTCAATATAAGCGGAATTATCTTTATCACATATTGAGGTATGGATACTATAACTAAAAATAGAAGAATGTGGTAACAAAGATCATGCATTCACTCATCTGGTTAGTACTGCTATACAAAATGTTAAGTGCTGATGGAGCTACAACAGAATACAGAATCCTTGCAAGCTCAGCAGTACTGGGAAGATTAAAATTAAGCACAAAAAGGGTAGAATCTTCTAAAAACCTTCAAGGTTACCCAGGAACCCAAGGTGCTGAATTCAAAGCATCCTTGTGGGTCAAAGAGCAAACTCAGAGCCCAACCAATGGTGGAAGTTGGTAAACCACTTTCGGAGAATCCTGCTTGAAACATATATAACAGAGAAAAGTATCTCCTATCTAACTTTCCAAGTTCCTCTCCCCCTTTACAATGAAATGTAACCTTTGAAATATATGTTGGCAAATGGAATGTGCCAGTGCTTCAAAAGAGATGATTCTGTACTTGCTCTTTGTACTTGGACAGTTTAATGAGATAGCAGTACTGATTACTCTTTGGCTGTTTGAATGGGCTCTAATAGAGCCATAACATATAGGGACAAAATGTAGAGGGAGGACTAAGAAACATGAAAATCACAATAAACTATTATTCTTTCTAGGCATTCTGTTTCAGACCAGGCCAACATGTCTGATTTATTTAGTTTTACTTAATTTTACTATGTTAGTTTAGGGTCATAATCTAGCGATACTTACTCCTCACTGTTTTCACTCCTTTGTGCGGCTCCCTTCAGCATTCTGTCTTGCAGGCAACAAACGACAAATGCAATCGACATTGCAACAATGATCAGTCCGCTGATGAGAGAGGCTATGACTGCCACCCGGAAACCTTTGTCCACAGGTTTTGGGATCACTAAGGCAACAAAAATTCAAACACATTTCTTATCGGTCTTACATTACTGAAGTGTCCCTTGGGGCTGATAATGTTTGAGCCAGTAGTACATGCTGTACCTTATACTTTTGATTGGCATGTTTCTCATCTTCTTTGCAAAGAGAACATTTGAAAAAGATGCAGGCTCTCATGGCCTTTGTTCAAAGTGGGTTCCCTCCTAGTTGTGCAGAGCCCAAGAATTCAGAAATAAGTGTTCAGCCCATTCATATCCAGCTTACCTTCACAATGAGGTGGGGAATGGCTCCAGTAAGATAGACTTCCTTTAAGCAAGCAGATCAATTTTCCGTTGCCCACTAGTTGATATCCTTCTATACACCAGTACGTAATAACTGACCCCAAGGAACTACCAGAGCCCTCTTCGATGTAGTAAAAGCCATCACTTGGGGGTAGCAGTGTTGTGCACTGAACTGGAGTAGTTAAAATAAATACAGGTTACAAGTGGAACACACAATCTGTGTTATTGTTAATTCTGCTCTTCTGCAGAAGAGTTACTTCTGTTGAACTATGGGAGCTGCTGAAGATGGACACAGGGCTTTAAAGCAGGGGTGAGCAAATCGTAGCCCTCTGAGTGATGTTGAATTATGCCCTATCTGGCAGAGCCAAGGGTGAGGAACTCTGAGAACTACAAAATAGGGAGGGTCATGTTTAGCTTATCTCTGCTTTAAATCATTATCAGCCAAATGTATCAGCTGGAAAGGGCTATCAGTTGCTTTTAGTCATGATGTTTGTTTACATCCTCCAAGATTAGAGGTGACATGCCTCCAAAATGAGTAGGAAAAGAGCTGCTGCCCTGATGTCCTGTGTGTGATGCCTGTGTGCCAATGGCATCAGGTTGGCCATTGGGGGAAACAGGCTTTTCAGAACAGATCGCCCTTTGGTCTGATTGTGCATGGCCCATCTTATGACAAGGTGCTTTTCCTGTTCTCTTTCACGCATGCAGAAAGCACTACATGAAAAAAAGGGGGACGGTTGTGTTATTTGTATAACAAAGTACGTTACAAATAAGCAGGCAAGAAGCTCTCTGAGCAAGATGTAAAGATATGCATGTTAGAAGAGCCTCTATGTCAGAGCCTCAAAATCAGAAGAAAATAAAGGATTTGCAGTTGAAAATAAGCACAGTTCAGTGTTTGTAAGAGTATTAGCAAATGCTTTCACATGACAAGCCCCGCTACTTATGCCAGGAAGACAGATTTAAAGTTGCACCCGTTGCCGACTAGTTGCACCCACTTAGACTGTAGCATAGGTTTACTGAAACGTAAATCCCACTGAGATCTATGGAACTTTCTCCCAGATAGTGTGAGTAGAATTGCGGCCTAAAACAGCAGGCCACCCATAGATTCTTCTAGAAATATAGTTCACAAAAGCCTACATGTGTAACTTATCAAACTATAGCCTTTTGCTAGATGACTTGTTCTTGGTTTGGGATGCTAACAAAAATTATCAAATCTCGGCAGGTGACTGGCGGAAATTTCCTGGTTGCCAGGTTCTAGTTGCAGGAGATAGCAGGGCATTAGCAATATCAGGATTCTACCTGTGTTTTTTGCTCACATATAATTGTTTAGGACTCTACTAGGGGAAAATGCTTCCTGCTTTATCAGCCACAAATCAGCAGTAATAAAGCCACACATCTCATAAATAATTTTGAACCTGGTCTGCTGCTCCATAATAACTTTGGACTGGACTCTGTACCACACAGGCTTTTCTAACATGGACACTTTTACATCTTGCTCAGTCAGCTCCATGCCTGCTCATTTGTAACTTATGCAATTTTATTATTCTTTGTTCTGAGAAATACTTTAGTACACAGTTTTTTGATAAATAGTGCACATGTCAAGAAGAAAAAGGCAGAAATAACAGTTCGCTCAAAATGTCTTCCCTCATCAATGGCTGAGTCTCCTCCTTTCCCCTCAGGATCTGTTTTTCCCACCAGTCTTATTTCTGGTCTTAAGAGTCCAAATCTGGTGGGTGCAGGAGGGGAAGATAGTTGAAAACTGCTTGGAAGACTATTTGCCAGTAACAACAGGTTGGAAAGGGAAAACAGTCAGCTCTTTCCCATCAGTTGATTTCTTGCTTGCCAGCATCCTCTCGTCTCTCTACATTTGTCTTACAAACAAATCAGAACAGAAATCTGTGGTTTCCTTATAAAATATCAATCTGCCCTTACCTGTGTCTGAAGGCCAGCGAGAACTATATATTTCCATGATGTTTAACACACATTCAATTTATGTCACAGAAAAGCAAGCATACTAGCAGTCTGTTGGCTAGGTAGAGGGAAAAGATTAAGGGTACTAGAATCATCCAGCTACCATATACCAATACGTCCTACAGGAAGGAAAATGTTACATATAAATTTATGCTTGGTATAAAACAAATGGTCCTGTTTAGATGCAAAATTAAAATGTCATCTAATATGACAGTTGTGATAGCTCATATTTTAAGAAGAAACCAGAACTGTGTTCACTAGGAAATTTTCATCATACATAAAAAAAGCTAACACAATTGTGCTGGTGCCTCCTTCAAAATTCACATTTTCTATTCTACTTTCAAGTGTGCATGGTGTGTGTGTGTGTGTGTGTGTAGGAGGGAATCAGTTACCTAAGNTGTGTCTGTGTCTGTCTGTGTGTGTGTGTAGCAGGGAATCAGTTACCTAAATTAATGTGGCAGTCCCAAATAAAGAAGATCCATTAGATCAATGGAATATACATAAATATTGACTAAGAATTCAGCTGTTGAGTCAATAGGTCTACTTTGGTTAGAACAAGCAATTAGATTTATGCCCATAACTTTCCACCCCCTCCAACAGATAAGAGTTATTTTTGTGAATACTGTTATAGTTCATATGGTTAATGTTTAAAGGTCCTAGTGAGAGGAGTGAAAAACAGGATGAACAACAGCATTTCACACAGCAGTCGTGGATATCAGACATAAAAGTTGTGGCCTTTTTGAGGCAGGCCTGCTGAGGACACAGAAACACAGACAGAGTACCTGTGAAGTTGGTCTGTGCAACAGTTTTGTTTGCTGCATCTCCAAGGAATTTCTTTATGCTAGTCTCCTCTGCAGGGGTGGTGGCCAAGGATTCAAGAGCTTCACTCAAGAAAAAATCTAGACAACTCCAAGCCAGCAGGCAAAGGGCTGAATGTTCCTGGGATCTTTGTTTCTTCATATCTTGAAGTTTTACTGTAGCATCCTGGGGTTCTCCTAAGAGCTTCTAAAAGTTCTGTATACTTTCCTTTTTTTCATTCAGAAGCTGAATCAGCAGCAATAAGCTGGATTTTAGGGCTTTAAGCCTTGAGGAGGAAAGCCTGCTTGTTCTCCAAAGACCAGCTGCTGTTCCATAGATTCTTACAAGGCTAAATGAACCCACTTATTTGCCACATTAAAAATATTTTTGTGTCTTCTCAACTGATGCTGCATACAGTCAATGGTTCTCATCTCTTCTTTGTTTCTACATTATTATCTTATTTTAACTTTTTACTATTCAGCATTGATTCAATGACTTGGCTAAAATATTGGGAAACTGGAGGTTATGAAACTAAAGATGAACACTTGTAAGAACATGGAGCCTTTTAGTGATCTCCCATGCAATTTTCCATGCTAATTAGCACCAGCACTATTATTCAAGAAAAGTAATCTCCAATAACATCTGTACGGATAAGGAGTGGTAATACTCTGAGTTTAATTAACTCTATGTGGAATGTAGGGCAACTGATCTATAGCTTCTGTCTCATAAGCAAGCCAATGCTCAGGAGATGTCTTTCAGGCAAATGAGGATGTTGGTGTCCTAAATCTATTTGTTGCATTTAATAGTTCTGTTTACATAGTGATGAATAGGCTTGACACAAATTACAGGAGCTGATGAAAGTCAGTCATAGAATTACATTGTTACCATTACTAGAATTATTCTTCATACCCTGGGTGTTCACAGCCTCAGGGCAGAAACAAACCTTATAGATAATTGCTTAGTAGAAGAAAGAATTCTTTAACTGCTGAAAACCTGTGAGTGTAAAACAGGACCTTTCTTCGCCTTAAGTAATTTGCAAATTTGTTTGCTTTATTTTCTGATTGATTTTCAAGATCATGAGATTCCTTTGAAGTCTGATTTCTCAGGCATAACCATCTGCCCAAATGACATCTCTCCAACTTTCTTCTATCTCTAATGCATCTGTTGCTGTTTTTAGACCTTTAGGAGGCCAAACAAAATGTTGCCACAGGGAAGGAAAAGAATAAATACTTTTTAATTTCTGTTTTTTTAACTAACATTTCTTATACCGGGATTTTACTAAACTGAAGAGTTTGTGTGTGAATTTCTAAGTGCTTCTACTTTCCTTAACAGTTTGCTTTCCAGAAAGAAGAAAAAACAACCTTATTTTGTCCTTTGCTCCTTTCAGAATGTTGCTGTGGTAACATTATGTATGTGCATGAGCATACAGAGTTCATAGAGTAAGTAGAAGCAGAAAGTAATTGTAGGCACGAAATCTCTGCATGAGGCAGCACAGTGAGATTGAAGAAGGCATATAATCACCATGTACAGTCCTGATTTGAAGGTACCCTCTGTTTGATGGCTGTTCAGTCTAACCCTGATTTAAAGATGAAGGAGATCAAAGACTGAAATTGTCCATCCACAGTCAGCAGTACCTAGACAACAAATGTAACAGGCACAGAGTTCACTTGGTCACATTCTTTCCTACTTAGGAAATCATGAAAATCATTTTTGCATCTGTATATATAAATCAGCATATACAATTATATGCATATATATCAGTGTCCTGTCTTCGGTTTCTGCTCATATATGTCCTTTTGATGATGTGTGTTAAGATTATCATGAATTCTAAACAACCTTTTGAGTAGAAAGCAAATCCAGAGCGAAATCCAATGATAGAGAGTAGTAACCATCAACATTCCCACTACCTTTCAGAACCATTTATGAAAAAGAAATGCATGCTGGCCATAATATTTTCAAAATCTTAAACAAGCAAACAATTACAAGCCAAATAACCCAACATGGTACTGGAATGAGACCCAGGGCTCTCATGGGGAGATGCACCCAACCCAAACTATAAGGAGGTAAGTTTATTAAAAGGAACAAAGAAGAGCCAATAATAAAACACAAAGAGTAAAAAGTCAAAGGAAAAGTTTCAGATAACCACGTTTGAAATGTATAAAGATAACAATCTTAAACTATACATGCCAATAGCAGAGGAAGTTCTTGAGATCAGATATGAACACAGGAACAAAAAAACACCTCTACACAAGCCTATAGCAATTGCAAGGCAAAAGCATACGCAGACATACCAACAACATGAAGCAAAATGGCTGGGAGCCTGAGACAGAAAGGGAAACCTTATATTTATTACACTTCCAGTTATCATGTTGAAATAGGATTATTTGTTTATGGTTCTGCCAAATGACTTATGACTAGTGGTGAAAGTATTCATATTTGTGTACAAATACAAATATCCCACACAGTTGGACTTAACAAGGGGCTGGACCCTGGGACGTTCACTCAAGCATCCGGTGGTGGCCTCACTCATCCTTCCAATCACTCCTAGAGCCCCGCTGTCTTCTTCATGTTGAAATAGGATTATTTGTTTATGGTTCTGCCAAATGACTTATGACTAGTGGTGAAAGTATTCATATTTGTGTACAAATACAAATATCCCACACAGTTGGACTTAACAAGGGGCTGGACCCTGGGACGTTCACTCAAGCATCCGGTGGTGGCCTCACTCATCCTTCCAATCACTCCTAGAGCCCCACTGTCTTCTCACTCGGCTAGCCACTCGGCAGCCATGCAGGGAGACTCGTCCTCCCTTCCCCTGCCTGGAGTGGCTAGGTGAGTGGGAAGAGAGTGGCGCTCCGGGAGTGATTGGAAGGATGAGTGAGGCCACTGCTGCTGGCAGACATGTGAGTGGACTCTATGGCCCCAGGGGGCGGACCCTCATTAAGTCCAGCTGCACTGGGATATTCGTATACAAATACCCCCATCTCTACTTATGACTTATTCCCAGTTTACCTATATGTGAAGACGTGAGATTTTTCCTTGCTTCCCAGTTTACCTATATGTGAAGACGTGATTTTTCCTTGCAATAAAAGTTGCAGAAGAATTACTGAAAGTTGTCGCAGCTCATCTTTCTGCATCTGCATTTCCCTCTTGCACTGAACTGGCATGTGCCATTGCAGTGGTGTGTTTTGTTCCAGAGGTACTTTGGGCATTTCACATCTCTTCTATCCTTGTGCTTTCATTGAAACTTTCCAACCCTACTGCAGTCTGAAGTTCAAAGAGAAGCAAGGGGAAAGTGTCAGTCACTTTGGAAGCAGAATGCAAGAAGATACGGCAAGAAATAAGTTGACAAGGGAAAGTTCTACACTTAAATTCATCAGAATACAGTGGCATAAAAAGTACTGCTTAGATTCCATCACAGCCTCAAACAAGCAGGCAGTGTGGAATGCTGAATGCTAAGAGACCAAGCTGCGTAAATAGTACCACATAGCAATGAATTCCATGACTAAACTAAAATGAAGTTTGTGCAATTCTTCATAATGTGCCCATGGCCACCTTAAGTGAGATGCTTGCTGTTTAATCAGTTTGTTAGGATCTCCAGTCCACCACTTGAAAAAATGAATGATATTGGAGTTTTTCCCAGCAAGCTTTACATGTAAAGCCAAGAGTGCAGTCTACTGCTGGAGCCCCTTTTCAAGCACGCTACAGCCTGTTCCAAGGTGCCATCTGGGCCTCAGATTACAAGATGACAGATCCTGTTCCTGAATTAATAGGCATAGCAGGAAAGTAGTGGAAATAATAGGTGGAGGAACTAGAGACCTAAGCTAAATATAAGCTGAGGAAACAATGAGACAATAAACTGAGAAGATAAATCTGTCAACGAAGGTGGCCCTACCCATTGTGCAAAGTGAGACAGCAACCCGTGGGAGCATTTTAATGAGCCACTAATAGTTCCCTGCTGCTAGGGGACAGTGCTGTGAATGCCACAAAATCTGATTTACCGTATTTTTCTGTGTATAAAACAACACTTGTTCCTTAAATAATTAGACAAAAAATTAAGGGTCATTTTATACACGGAAGGCAGCTGCTTTTCCCTGCCTTTTGCAAAGCCACGGGGCTTAGCAAAAAGGAAGGGAAGGCTCTCTTCGGGTAGAGCAGCCGTGAAAGGCCTGCACAATCGTAGCCCTTTGATCCTGAAGCAGCCATGAAAGGGCTTCAGGATCAAAGGGCTGCGGTTGTGCAGCCTTTACCCGAAGGGAGCCTTCTCTTCTTTTTTGCCAAGCCCTGTGGCTTCGCAAAAGACAAGGGAAAGTGGCGGTCGAAGGGAGCCCTTTGATCCCTGCTTTTTTCTTCCTTTTGCTAAGCTCCATGGCTTAGCAAAAGGGAAAAGCAAGGATCAAATTTTCTAATTTGGGGTTAGAAAAGGAGGGGTCATCTTATACTTTTGGGTTATCTTATAAATGGAAAAATATGGTAGTTTTGGACACCACTTCAAGGTGGTGAAAGACAGTATCCCATCACCCAAATTGAAGTAAAATTTAAGTGCCTTTTGAGTTGGCTTCTATACTTAGAGTTGGGATAGAATGTGATCATGACCCAGGCAGTAAAATATCTTGGTCTGCCCCTACCTATCTGTGTATATATATATATACAGTATATGTGTGTGTTTCATTAGGGTGGAGGCAGTATATGTGTGTGTTTCATTAGGGTGGAGGCTGGAGGAAAATGATCAGCAAATGTGTGAGCTATGGGTGCTCTAAAAAACAAGAGAGCTGAGGGAAATCATCTAGATGTCTTGATGGTGCACAGGTGGAGCAGCACAGCAGGAGTGAAATACAGAATATCTTCATAGCATTCGTGGGGATTCCTTCATATCCTTTAGCACACCCCAACCTTACCTTGGGCCTCCAGATGTTCTTGGACTTCAACTCCCAGAAATCCTGGCGAACAGAGATGGTGGTGAAGGCTTCTGGGAGTTGTAGTCCAAGAACATCTGGAGGCCCAAGGTTGAGGACACTGCTTTAGCACACAATATTCACTTCTAGAAGTATTTTTAAAATACCTTAAAGTAAGAGATTAACATGGAACTGTAATGAGCACTCATATGGCCTCACAATATGCAAACAATTGCACATTCAATATGCAAACATTGGACACTTTCT